ATATATTATTAATATAACATTACATATAGAACTCTGAATTTTTTCAAAACCCCCTTCTTGAAAAATCAACCATCTTGACACAGATCTTCATTTTAAGCCAAGAAAATATCCCAAGAGAGAGACAGCCCTGCATTAACACTTTTTGAACCAATACAGCCTGATTGCGTCTGAGAATTTCAATGGAAACCAAAGTCTAAACTAAAGCTCTAATACTACATATTCAATCAACCAAGAGTCTCTTACCTAGAGAGTAGAAGCAAATATTATCCAGCACAAACACTGTTATTAGTGGGCAAGCACGCACTTATCTCACCATCCAAAAGAAGCAGAAATCCAATATTTACCAAAGAGACTCGTCACATCGGTTCGAACAAAACCGCTAAATAAGAATCGATTCACGCAAATGCCGTCTTAAACCATGTTGGTTGGTCGGGAATACACAACCGTCGAAAGGTATTATACCAAAGCAAAATTCCTGCTGCAAGCACGCCTGCAGACCACCTTAGTGTGACTTGAAGCAGAGGCGGAACTTTCACACGATGAGAAAAGACGTTTTCGATTTTTTCCGATTCCTCAGACGAATGCAAACTGATCTTTCTAAATTATGGTTTCCTGCGACGACTATGTTAGGCCCAACGCCCAATCTGATGGATCGAGCAGATCTGAGCAGATGGTCTGCTGATGATCGATTTACAGTTACTGGTTGTGACATACTAACATGGAGAAAATAGGTGCTTGGACGATACTGGCAAGCTACAATTCAGGAAAAATATGCTACCTAAGCAGCAGGACTGACCAATTTAAATGTGTGCAGACATGTAAATTTTTGGTTTTCTTCTTCACTTGATAAATTGGGCTCTATTGGCTTGATCAAGCTTGCTGTTCCTCATAGGCTTGCAATATTGTTACAAACGTTTTATTGGCTAGGTGTTCAATGCAAAATTTTCGCTCTAAGACTCTAATTGAAAGTTTTCTTTGAAAAGAGTGAAAATGAACAAGAATTTTACCAAGTTAATGTCCTTAGAGCGTTAGCAATTTTACTTAAAGAAGATCTTTTTTTAATATAAAGTTTAATATTGAATAAATAAGAGAAGCAAAGAAGTTATTTAATTTAGTCAAATTGAACTAAAGAGAACAGACCCTGAACARTGTTGGCAGCTTTAACAGCTTAAACAGCTTTAGACCCAGAGGAAACTGAACTTAATATAATATMAATAATACCTGCCTATGTTTGAGGAGTTAAAAAAATGTGAGAAAAACGAAAGAAGATGGGAGTGACGAGAGTCAAAAAMCCAGCAGTKCACAGAAACAAATTACTCAAGAWCAAYAAAAGAATTAAATTATTTTCTTAAAGTCRACGTRAAAYTTTTAWGTCAAYTTTAMAAATCTAAACGGGTATCAAACTTCCTTCAAACCACAAGTTTATGATGMAGACAGACGGTWAYMATAATTCAAGAACAGAAAACTGCAAAAAMGACAGATTTCGCAAAAWWGTTSGAAGAAGTGTGAAACATAWCGAGCTTTCAACGTCTGTTRYAAACAAATACCTAAATGATGCTTTGTACCGTTTGGAATTKTTAGCAAGACATCAGTTTTCTAATTGCTTGTCCGATTAGTCGATATAACTCATAGAAGTACAAAAACAACCTGAAGCGAAATAAAAAGCGATTTAGAATTATCGGAGAAATATTATATAAAAATTTAAAATAAATATACCAGACAAATGGAAAATTGCTAGCTAAAAACATGTTGTAAGGTTTAGAAAGTAATTTAATAACATACGCCGCTTAGATGCAAATTTTGAATTCCTTCTACACGATTAAACGCGCTTCAGGTCGCGGAAAATTGCTGTTAAATTGCCTGATTTTTTAAAGCACTATTTTAAGGCATTGTTAAAAAATTTAAAAACTCATAAACTCAATTATCAGTTACGTTTTTTAGATGGAATATCCATGAATTTTGCCGTTCTTAACTGAATTCTTAGCATCTGCTTCAAACTCTGGAATTCAGTTTATTTAGCGCTTCTGATAGATGTTCTTTTGATCCGAGATTCTTGTAAATGAATCTTTAATTTTCCGTGACCAATATAAAGATTGAGCTACCGAAAATTGCAGTAAACATAAAAAATTGCAAAATGTTTGGATCTATTTAATATTTCAGAATCAAGTGTTATGCATTACAAGTTTCTAAATATTCAGTTTTCCAAAACTATGTGGATGCTACTTCAGTCGAAGCTCATTATAAGGAAAAATCCACAGTTTAAAAAGTGGCTTACAGAATTCTGAAAGGGTCCAAACAGTTTAGAAGATTCTTAAATACAGAAAGTAATTTGCTGACGAAAAAACTTAAAAAGGAAGATAAAGCTTAAAGAAAGAAAGACGCAGTTTTCCTAGTCGTTTATATTAACAAATTTCAAATTAATTCTGTAATTAATCAAACCTTTCCTAAATGTTTTGCTTATTCAGTTTCGTTACAATTGCAAAAAAGCGGTAAACGCTCATGGTATGAATAATTTCAAACGTTAAAAAGTGTAAACTTTGGAAAAAGCCTTGCCATAGTATTGTCTTCTTTAAAGTAACTAGATTAACTAGATTTATAAAAGACCAACGTAAAAGTAAAATTTTGCCCCATAACTCTATCAGAAAGAAGACAGTGGCATCTTCTACTCACAACGCACGTATTTTCAACTCGTTTAATACAGGACATAAAAGAGCATTCAATTCGCTTCGCATCGATTCGAAGAAAAATGCGAAAGGTGTCTAAATCAGAGACGAATAAAGACTGAGAAATCGGGAATATTTGAGCCAATTTTATTTCCAAATATTTCATTGCTAACGTAGTTTTCTCTCATTTGTGAAACCATCAGGGCTTCTTTATCCGTGTCCGTTCATCTTTTAAAACACATCAACAACTGTTGAAACACAAATTATATTTTTCATGAAAAAAGAGTTTTGTAAAAACAAAACAAATTTTATAAAATATACAATGTAGCGTGTACAGGGTGAGCAAAATTATTTTAGAAAGCTCATAATGCAGAATATTTTGCAAATCAAATGGCAATTTAAAACCAAATGGCAAAAAAATACGCAAACTATTTAGCGCACTTTGGAATAGTCAATGAATTTTTGTGTTAATCAGGAAATTTTAAAACTCAATGAATCATTCATAAAGCAAACCTCTGCGAATCAAAGTGATTTTCGTTCGAAGAAAACGATCAAATTTCCTTCAATTGACCTGCAGGATTATCAAAACCAGTCATGCACGTACGTACACCGAAAAACAGCTTTCCTTTTTCCTTCCTGCAGGCCATATTCGTATCTGCGAACATTTCTCACCTTGACCACACCGTCGGAACTCGACTAGTAAAACGTATTGAAAAGAGACACAAACACCAACAACGTTGATCTTGTGTAATTTTTACTTTGTTCATACGTTCACTCCCAAATCATTAACATTCCAACCGGTATACATCGAGTTGTCGGCATAGATGTGTGTAGAATACAACCAACGCATTGCTGAATACGAGAGATTTAACCCAATTGAAATTGAATTAGAGGGACTTATTGCATGTAGGTATCGATGTTAATCGCATTACTTGCTTTTGCTGGCAGACTGCGTGTTGGGCCGAATGCCAAGCTGCATTTAAATGATGCAGCTGAGGCAAAAATTAAAATTTTGTCACGTCCGGGAAAATTTTCCGTCTATGAGAAGATTTTATAGCAAAATATCACTATGCCAAGAGGAAGGACACCGATGAAAATCAGACTGAGGTTATTGGAGCAACTGATAATTTGCCGAATGACTTGGAAGACACTGCTAATTTACTAGTTTCAGCTGTTCAAAAATATATTTTCTTTGCTAATTTCACTTTATTGGTGGTATTGCTGCAAAACTAAAATTCAACAAATGTACTTCTTACTATTCTTGATTATTTTCTGAATTAAGGAACAAAACTAATTTTATATACGGGGTGGTTTTTAAGAGCGAAAGATTCCATTGTTTCCGTTGGTGCTGAACTTTAGAAAAATAGTTTCATATAAAAGTTGTTGACGAACAAACATCTTATATGATACAGAGTGTCTCAGAAAAGCGAGGCAAGATCAAAGTGTATTTTTTAATAGAACTACCCATTTTYTATTAGCTCATGGAATGCACCTTGAAACGCTGCATAAGCACCGTAAATGGTATTTTTCTTACTTGCGACGTTGGCAGATTATCGCCATTTTASTAAAATTTTGCTTAAAAACATGSTATCTRAAAATTCATTGTATATTTTCTGATACACTCTGTATCATACAAGATATTTTTAAAATGGGCGCACTTTGTGCGTCAACAACTTTTATATGAAACTATTTTTCGCAAGTTCAACACCAACGGAAATAATGGACTCTATCGCACTAAAAAACCACCCTGTATGAATCGAGGCTCAACCGTAGTCATAACAAAAAGTTCCTCAAATTTGAAATTATGTCGAAAATATCAAAGCATTTTGAAAAATCTTGTTTTAATTTAAAAAATTACTCATTTTATATATATTGAGGACACATTTTTAGTTTAAAGCAGACTTACACATCTCAAAGAGAAACACCCAGTATATAAAACGTTTTCTCTGTATTTCTGAAATTGAATAATTGAACCTAAAGTTTTTATTACAATTTAAAATTGAGATTAAGCTCATGGCCAAGTTTGAATCATTTCTATGAAACGCCCTTATAGCTAGCTGCAGTTCGTTTTGAAATTCTTGAAAAAAAATATCAATACATTGTACAGGACGTTACCAATGTGGACTTCAATCTAAAACTTTTTAACGCAATATAACTTTTGTTTTTCAAATGGAAGTACCTGTATATTAATACGTCATTAGATGGACAATTTACAAAATTACAAATTTGTATCTACACTTTAAGCTGTGAAATCAACCCTTTTCATATTATAATTTATTTTATTTAAACATTTAAAAAAGTTGTTACATCTTGTTAGGTGGCTATGGAATTCATTAAATAAGTGTCAATAAATACACTTATTTATTGACTTCCATAGCCACCTTACAAAATGTAGCAACTTTTAAATTTCTAAGTAAAATAAATTATAATTTAAAAACGGTTGATTTCACAGCTTAAAGGGTAAATACAAATTTGTCACTTTGTAAATTGTCTATCTAATGACGTATTAATATACAGGTACTTCCATTTGAAAAACAAAAGTTATATTGCGTTAAAAAGTTTTAAATTGAAGTCCACATTGGTAACGCCCTGTACAATGTATTGATATTTTGGTTCAATAGAATTCTTAAAAAATCTGTGGTAATTGGAAAAACGTATTTTTTTGTATCTTTAACTGCTTTTTTTGCTTCTACAATGAATTTTTAGATACCATGTTTTTAAGCAAGTCTGTATCATATAAGATATTTTTAAAATGTGCGTACTTTGTGCGTCAACAACTTTTATATGAAACTATTTTTCTAAAGTTCAACACCATCGGAAATAATGGACTCTATCGCACTAAAAAACCACCCTGTATAACATAACAAATCTGAATTTGAAGTTAAAATTGGTAGCAAAAAATGCCTTTCCATCAAACGTTATTGTCGTTATTATTATTAAGCGCTGTCGTCTGTTGACTGGTGCCGATAAGAGCAAATATTCTAACACTTTAAAAAACGATTAAATAGCCATTTTTAAATCTATCTAAAGTGGAAAATAAAAGTGTAAAACACTATTTAATTTACAACTACGTATTGTAAAACTTTCTTACGACTTTCTGCATTCTTTATTTCAACTGTTACAAAACCGGGAAAGCAAAGCAAATAACATGAATTCATCAGAAATTCTCAAAACCACCACTTCCCACTTCGACACACTTATTTGCGCGTTTATTAATTGATTTAATGGAAGGCTGTAGTGAACAATTAGCATAAACCAACTACTTCATCCATATCCAGAAGGCAAAAATCTAGGGAAATAAGGTCTGGTAATGTTGGTGGCCAAACCATAGAACAAGGCTTATTTGGCCAAACCAGCGATCGCCGAAATATGCATTCAGAAAAGTTCTAAAATGGTTTCAAAAATGAATACTCAAATACATGGTCGAACATCTGGAACTTCGTCTAAAGTTTCGAATTTAGGGATTCACTAAAACTTTTATTAGTCAATCGAAATTATTGTATTTCTGCAACCGTCTGTTTCCACAGATCCATTGGCAAAGTTGTTAAAAGAAAATCGCCTTGCGTGAGATTTTCACTTGTTGCATAAGTATGAAAATTGTGCAAACCTGGTTATCATAGTGGATACTGGATAAATATCTGCTCTGGAGACGCTGAATGTTCTTAAAGAAATAAATGCTTTCTCTATCAAATGGCGAAAAAACAGAATCGGTCCTGCTCTGGTTTGAACAACTGAAAATCTTCTAAATTCAGACTTAAAAAATGCACCTCCAAAACAGACTGACTTATCAAATTGACTAACCCAAACTGAATTTTCTCTAAAAAAAGTTCAAAGTAAGTAACCGTGGTGAAACCTTCCGCTTTCATGGCGAAGGACCGAAAATGAGATAAATTTGCGACCATCCATATCAAACGATAAGATTTAGAAAAAGAAACTCTATAGTTTTAAAGAAGACATGCCACATCCTCCATTCTAACAACTCCTGAATCGAACAATACAATAAATCGCTAAAATGTTTTAAATGGAATGAAAACCTTAAAAGAAACTCAACTGATGTCTTCGGCTGTAGATACAAATACTGGAGGGCGCCACCATATGCGATAGAACTTAATAGAAATTTCACTTCAAAATGGAGGCCTGTCAAACATACAGTACGTAGGTATATTGTATATGGGGCGGGGAGTTTCTCGTTCGGAAATCGTTCGTTCTTTACGTGAAAACCTTTGGTTAAATCCCAAAATCATATTAGGCATTTTCCCTACGATTCGGGCCTCGAACTGTATCGAATGTTTTTGTTATTGTAGCCTTTATCGCCACCAAATCGGATAACTGCACTTTCAAGGTAAACAATATATTGTATTTTATCTCTTTCTGTTTTGTGTTTTATTTCATTAAAAATCGCCAATTGTTGTAGTGACAGAGTCAGATTAGACAGACACAGCTGCAATATTTCAAACTGTTTTGGCGACAAACACTGAAAAATGCCTGAGAACTGTGCAAGACAATTAGTAACTTTGTCTGTAAGTCGCCTTTGACAATTGATTAGAGAGAGTCGAGTGAGAAGACAATTTGCAAAAAAGTTGAAAAAGTATTATTTTAATTAAAATGCCACAAAGGACACTGGACTTGTTTATAATCAAGGAGTTAAGATTTATTTCATTGCTATTTTGATTAACTGGGTTTCAGTAACGATATCTCAGAAAATTGAGTGGTTTTCCTATAATAAAATCTGCATTTTTCCTTAAGGTTCGTCTTCGTCTTCAACGAACTTCGTCATTCAACGCACTTCCGCAAGTGCGTTCTGGAGGGAAATTAATTAATTCCCTTAATAAACTTCGCACAGGATAAGTGAAAAAAACGGAAGTTAATTAACTAAAACAATCGCAGCAGGTTTTGTTTACATTGAAGTATTTAACTTTCAGTTCATTCTTTCACAGCTATTTCCGATTAATTGGCTACCTCTAAGAAAATGGAGCTAATCCCCTTAATGAAACGAATTAATTATCTTAATATACTCCACGCAGGGTTCAAACACTTCAGACTTCATAAATCACGAATGGCTTACAGGGTGTTAGAAATTGGATTCATTCACGTTTCTTCGAATTTAGAATAGAAAGGGTCCTATTCTGTAATTAGTCCGTTAAAAGTTAACGGACGCTAAAAAGTTTGCGGCCGCTTAATTTTCGATTGGTATTCTGTAACTCGATTGTCCGTTAAACACAACCTAATTCCATTATAAATATCGGTCAGGCGCCTATTTTTAAGGGTAACCTAAAAGTAGCCGTTAAGTATAAGCGGGAAAGTTGTTGACAAATTAATATCAAATGTAAGTGATTTATAGAAGTTGTTTTAGAACAACAGTTGAATTTGTATGAAATTTGGTGTTTTATGATATTGGTGGAGAAGTTCTGAAGTTACGTTATGGACTCCTTCGAGACACCAATAATCGATATAATGTTTCCGCAGAAAAATGTTAATGCCTTTTTCGGGTTAACAAAATACCACTAGAATTATAATGCATGCCGGATCCTAGAAGAAGTACAACAATAGCAAACGGAATAAAAATATTAGTTACATTACATTTTTATGCCACTGGAAGTTACCAATTAACTCCATCGCAAGGGTGTACAGTAAGAAGTTACAGACGTAATTCAGAATGGGTTTTTGCAAAAGTTGAATGTTTCATTACGTTTATCCACGTGATTCTGCAGTATGGCAAGCTTCAATAATTACAAGGAATCTATTATAAAAACTGGAAGATCAGTATGTCATAGGTAGCAATTATTTTGGACGACTGGATACCCCTACAACCCTTCCTGATAACACCGTTCGAAAATTTTATGGTGAAAAGCCCAGAAACTAATTTTATTGAACATATAAGAGCTAGAAATATTGTAGAAAAGGTTATAGCTGTACGAAGGTCTCGATTTATATATTTACTAAAGCATCGTGTTCCAAATTATGATCCAATAAAAGCAGAAAAAATTCCATAAATTTTGTTGAGCTTTCTACATAATATTAAGAATTTGTATAATCATGATTTTACTTTTTGAATCAAAAAACAAACGAAGCAGACAAATACTTGAGACAGATAAGTACAAGTCTTACTTCAGCACGATTGTTATCAAGATTAGAAATTTAGGTAGATTTCAATGTTGCCACCTTCTACTGTTGAGAAAGTTTAACGGACTACGCTAAAATGTATTTTTTAACGGAACATCAAAATTCACGTATACAGAATAGCAATAAGTCGATTGCGAAATAACGGACGGTTAACATTAATTAGTTAATTTTTAACGGAATAGTTACAGAATAGGGCCCAAAAAAACGACGGTCAAAAATTATTCTTTAATTTGCGAGTTTTAGGTGGGCATTTACATAAGTTAATACAAGTAGGTGTTGACCTATAGTAATTCAGAGCTCTAAAAACATTTTTTTATACAGAATGATCCATGTTTAATATTGATAAGTTTACGAATCAGAAAGATCATAAAGAGAACCAGGAAAGAAAATTTTCCCTAAATCGCATCCTTTCGAAGGTCGATTTTTTCAAGTTCACGTAAGATTTTTTCCGCTGTGATCCACTTATTCGATTAAGGTAAAATCGGAACTCAAATATTTCTACTAACCTTACATAAGTATTCACCTAAAGCTTTTATCACACAACTTTCTTAGTGCAACAGAAGTGTATTTGTTGTGCCACGGCCTTCTTTTCTTGTTTCAAAACTTCAACAACAAAAATTTATTTCAATAAAACACCTGCATCTGCAGAAAATTCACTGATTCAATCAGAAACTTTTTTGCTTCTAGGCATTTTTAGCATTTATCTCTTGTGTCTAATATTTATTCACCTACCCACATTTTATTTAACGTTACAGCAAGCTATAGAAGCTCACAAAAGTTTGTGTAAACTGAGATTTGTACACAAAATGTATTTTTCATTAGATGTGTTTGCGTCCAGAATTTCACCTTTATTCTGATGAGTAGTTCAAAATCGACGAGAAAAAAGCGTAAAAAAATCTTATTGTAAGTGGGAACATTATTCTAACATGTTCTTTTGATTCCTGAAGTTATCACGATTAAACTCGAATCACCCTGTATCTATAGTTAGTATATATTAGTTATCTTAGTAGTAACTATAGTAAAAAAATGAAAATTTTCTAGTTTATCGCCTTAGGAAGATATAGAGATTCCCATTACTAACGAGTTTTCTTAGTAATGTTTTTTGAGGAAATGCGTTTTTTTACCACCACTTTTTGCTGATTGAAGACTGACTGTTTCCAGAGGTTTCAAATGCAGCTTTCATTCCGACTTAATTTTTTTTCGCGGGTTTATCTTCGGAACTTTTTCAAACGATCAAACCACTTTATCAGGGCATCGTTTGCAAAATGCCCCGCTCTCTTTTTTAGATAACCTCCTTACCTAAATCTTAAAAACTTTAACAGCAACCCAAAATAATGATATCTGAATGTTTTGCGAGGTGATACTGAACCACCGGATTAAACACCTACGGATTGTTCAGTGCAACAATAGACGCCACTTGAGTATAAGAACCGTTTTCCGGCCCTATTAGATCGCTCCATGCCAAAAATTTCGCGAAATAATCGGTCTTTATGGAGAACTACACCAACCGGCACATCGAGCAACAAATTGCAACGCAAAAACTGCTGCACGACTTTAGCCAGAAGACAAAATCCTGGGTACAAAAAGTATATCGAAATTCATCGTTGACTTACCGAGCAACCTAACTTGCACGAAACTGGTGCAAAAGGAACAGTAAAAACTGCGCATTTTGAGGAAGAGATCCTTAACCAAATTGTAAATGAATTTGCGGATTAGCACTTGTCAAAATATGTATGATCTGAATACGACTCAACTTTATGCATACCATTTACGAGCAATTCAAGGTTTGACTCCACCCAAGAGTTTAAGTTTAACACTGGCTGCTATATTGGATTGCCAAGGAACCCAGTTTTTCCACCCTTTGTTATATGGACAAATTAACTGAGTTTCATACGAGATAACATATCCAACAATATTCCTACTATTTGAGTCGAAGAAAACTTTCTCGCGATTCTCACTCGAAGTCCTCATCAACCCTTGTTGGACACCTTGTGACACATTTTTCTGTGAAAATCAAATTTAATTCACCCTGTAGACCCTTCTTCTTCTCTTTTTCACAAATCGTGGTTTCTCCACTGCTGAAGATAGGTCTCTTCAAGTTTCTTCCAGATATCTCTAGCCTGTGCTTTCTGTGTCCAGTTTCGTCAAGCTGCAGCTTTAATATCGTCAGCCGTTCAATGGTCTACTTAACTTTCGTTTACTTTCCCATGGTCTTCATTTCAGTACTCTAGATGTCCATCTATTGTTGTCCATCCTGGCCACGCCTCTTAAATTTGGCTATTCTCTCGGTTATACTCATTATTCTGGTTCTTCTTCTAATCTCTTCGTTCCTCATATGAGCTCTCAAACTGACTCCCAGAATTTATCTTTCCATAGCTCGCTGCGTGCATTGCAGGCGATATACGCTGTTTTTTGTGAGGCTCATTGTTTCCAGCCTGTAAGTGTTTACTGGAAGTATGCAGCTATCATACACTTTCCTTTTCAGGTTCATAGAGATATCTGTGTGAGTATAAATCGTATTTTTTGTATGCAGCCCAACTTTGACCTACTCTTCGCGGTATTTCTGCATTTTTATTTTCTTTATCAATTTTCAGTTTATCTCCCAGGTATATACTCGTCTAGACTTTCGATCTCATTCAAGTCGATTGAAAGTTGAATTTTTTGCGGACTGAGGATTTTTGTTTTTGTGATGTTGACCTCGAGTCCTATTTTTTGATAGGCATGGTTTAGTTGTTTGATCATAGTCTTCAGTTCCAATGGGTCTTCGCTTATTAGAACCACGTCGTCCGCAGAACGCAGGAGGTTGAGATATTCGCCGTCAATTCTAACTCCGTTCTCCTCCCAGTTTAGCCTCTTGAACCTCTTGTCTTCTAACGCTAGCGTAAATAATTTCGGTGAAATGAGATGGTACCGCCTTGTCTTACTCCTTTTTTTTACTTTTATTTGTTCCGTTTTCAGGTCTTCATCTAATTTAACTACCATTACTGATGTTTCGTATATGGATTTGAGGAGTCCTGTATATCTTGAGTCTACCCTGGCGTTATCTAAGGAGTGCATAATTGCCCATTGTTCCACTGAGTCAAGTAGACCCTTAGGTACACTTAAAAGTTCAAGTTGACGGACAAAGATCAAACATAGGAATTGTTGTGGTTCTTGGATAAAGAATTGCTATGCTGTGCGCTTTCTATAACCATTCTGAAATGAAATACTGAGAAACGCGGAGCTGCATTAATTCATTGGCCCACTGTGTATAATAACTAGATGGCTTTCAATCACTACAATTGATCCCTTTGTCTTTGATTTAGTCAATCGATGTAATTTCAAGCCAGAATGTTTCTGCAGTTGATTCTTCTTGCTTCCAGGTTAAATGAAGCAAAATGGCGCTGAACCGATTAGGACCCCCAGGAAAACAAAAGCATCAGCGCCAATGAAAAGCAAGTCAGTGTCGTCCAGCAAGTTTCGGAGCAGTGACATGAAGACAGTGCCAATCAATCGGAAAAAGAATGATCAAAAGACGCCCAATATTGCATTGGGAAATCGGGACACTATCGCGGAAACTATTGCCTTTGTCATCAAAGGTCAGCTCACTCCCATTCAGCTGACGCCACTGACCGATACGAAATCCAGCAAAACTGATATCAAACGTCTGCAGAAATCGCGCTACTGCAAAAACAAAGTGGCTCCGGATCCTGTCAAGGCGAAGCCTTTAAATGATCGGAAACTGAAGATTGCTGATAAGCCAGTGCTGGCGATAGAGAAACCTGAATCAAGTGTGCTAGCTAATGAAGACCTGGACACGTCGATAAAGAAGATAATTAGACGGTATGCCAAAAAGCTGCGAATCAAGCGAACTAAGCGGAAAAGAGTAGTACAACCCACGGATGAAGCTCAATCAAAGACAACCAATAAAGACAAAGCGAGCGAAGCTCTAGACGCCAAGGCTGCACCCGTTCGTAAGCCACCAATTCCCATCGTAGCAGCTGATGCAATTCTAAAGCCACGTAAGAAATACGTGAAGAGAAAAGCGAGCAATAAGCAAATAAACGCAAACGCACCGGAAACCAGCAGCGCAAAAAATTCGGAAACGCCCAAATCTATAGTGGAAATCATAGAGGTGAAAATCAAGGAAGAAAAAGTTGATGAAGAGTTTCCAATTCTTGTCAAAACCGAGCCAGGATTGGAGAGCGGTCCGCCTCCGAAGCCTTGCGAGGAAATTAAACCTGAACCACCTGTAGCAAAAGTGCCACCTGTCGCGGCACCCAAGTCGCCAAAAGCGAAGAAACCGGTAATCCCCCAGAAATTGAAGCAGCTGAAGAAAAAGTCCCTGATCAGCAAAGACGCGCAGAAACAACTGGAGGATAAGCGGCGAGCAAAGCTCTTGCAGTTCTGGAACAGCCCAAAACGGCATCGGGAAGCTTCCCTAAACGCTCTGGCTAAAGTGCACTGTCTCTACGAGAACGAATCAAAATCAGCTTTCGACCAAATGACTGAAAGCTCCATTATCAAGCGGGAACCCGCAGCTTTCCCAGACAAATCCAAAAAGTGTTCAACCGCCCGCAAACTTTCATCGGATAGTTCGAGCGAATCGGACTCAGACGAAGAACAGCCTGTGAAGCGAATTTTGCGAGATGTCCCGGGACTGCGCGCTATTGGAAAGCACTGGGACATGCACGATTCAATCAGTTCGGACAACAATAGCGACCTGGAGCTACCCAGGCCCCCAAAAAAGCCCAAAGTGAAAAAAGAGCCAGCAAAAAAGGTTGCAAAACCCGCAAGAACCGAGGTGAAAGACCAGCAGAAAAGCAAGCGGAAACCTAAACCCGAAGTTCTAATGGACCTGAAGGACATGGTGGTGAAAAAGCGAATGGCCAGTTTGAATGCTTCAGCTATACTCACTGCAAGCTATTCAACTGATAAAAAGGCCAAACCGAGGAAGACCACTGATTCTTCCAGCTACGACTCGGACTCTTCGGCAGAGGAGTACTTTGCAGCCATCGAGCAAATTGACCTTACCAAGGACACAAAGGAGGACATAAAACAAGAGGAGGAGCAAAATCTGATTGAAGTGCACACGACTCCGAACAAGAAGGTTGCAGTGATTCTGAACCAGGACACCGATGTAACTATAACGGGCGTATATGTGAACAGCACTAGATCCACGCATCATGAAGGATATTGCAGCATAGCAGGAATGCAGTATCGTATCTCTGCCACCAGCCATACCCAGACTGCAGCTACCACTGTGGCAGCTGAGGCTTTACTACAATCTGGCAGCAACTCGGATAATGTAAGTAGATGCTCTTGATTTTTTTATGTTTAGTCATATTTCTGCATGAAAGTGTAGGTACAGCATGCCCCATTTGCGACGCTATAGGGTGTCTTAATAAAAGTGACGAAAATGGAACACCGTCTATGTTTATGCTAACATGCAGATCCAATAAGAACGACGGATTTATATTTTAAATAACAGATATCGCTTCTCCGGAAGAACAGTGACGCAGGTGCAAATTGATGATTTCTCAGAAATCGTAAATTAAGAAAATTATAATAATGAAACTTGCGCTGACTTCGAGATAGCAAATGTAGTCTAGTTTTAGATGCTGCTTATAATTTTTAAAACATGAAGATGTGTAAGCCTTAAAAGACCAAAAAGTTCCATTTACGTCATTGTTCCATTGGAAAAGGCGGCAGTAATAATAGTTGTGACAAAATTAACTATTGAAATTGTTAGATGAATACTTTACTTTAGTCACAGTCAACTTTATGAAATGACAACAGAAAAATTAAGTTGAATAAGAAATATTTATTAATAAAATTACAAAAACAAAAATTCAAAAGAAGCCACTAAAACACGGTTCATAGTATTTTGGAATAATGTATATTGTTAACAAAGTTTGTACATCTTTTTTCTTATTTTCAATTAGTGGAGTTTTTGAAATGTAGACGGGTTACTTGATGATGCTATTTAGACTCTTCACTCCAGAAGAGCGTCTAGTTCCAATGGTTCGACTCCTAACTTGCACCCAAGTAGTCTGTTTGGAGCTAGATTTGTAGTATTAGACATCACTTTCTTTCACAAATTTTACGACTTTTATATCTGGCATCTTAATCTAACCACCCTCTAGATTTTTCTGGGAATTAAAACCAATTTCATTACACATCGATTTTAAATCTATAAAATCGTCATAACTCATTTCTTTCACGACAAAAGGATTTTCAGTTTTTTTTGAATTCCTTATTATGGTCACTAATTGGCCAGGCACGTATATGAGCCCTGATTTTTTTGGCCTCTCTTCATATATTTCTCGATAATACTATGAATGGTGTCGCCCTCATTCTGTGTATGCCCACGGATGAGGAATTTGTGAGTAATAGAGTTTATTTGTTACGTTTCCACTGAAGATAAAGATGAAGAAGATGAATCTGTACATACTATCAAAATATACTACAACAGCACTTACGTCCTTGTTGAACCAAAATTCATGCACTAAATTTGCTAGCTCAGACGCTACCAACTGTTAGGTCACTGTTCATCTGAAGGCATTGTTAAAAAGACGCCATTGGAACAATGACGCATCTGCTCTCTAGCGAAAACTAAGACGTTCTAACATTACGTCGTTGTTCCACTGCAGAAATGAACATTTTTTTGCAATAGTGCCATAATTAACTGAAAAAGTCAAAATTTGCAGTTGCGTCATTGTTCTTCCGGAGAAGCGATATGTATTGGTGGCATAAGTTTGAAATATTTATTGAAAAATGCAGTACACATCATGTGGTTATGAATGGAATAAGACATCGGATAAATGACCGCCTCGGCTTTGCTGGCACAGACGTGCTCTTTTCATGAAATTGTCAAGTACTGTTGTGCATACATTTTGCGGTATTTCAGAGATACAGCGTTGAATTTCATCTTTTAAGGCTTCAATCGTTGTTGGTTTGTTCACATAAACTTGTGACTTTAAAAAAAACCCCAAAGAAAAAAGTCCAAAGGCGTTAAATCGCATGATCTGGGCGGCCAATGCCGATCTCTCGAACGAGAAATAACGCGACCAGGAAATGACTCGTGCAGTAATTCAACAGTTTCTCTGGCTGTATGGTCCTGTTGAAACCACATGCTGTTGAGATCCATATTTTGCAATTTTGGCATAAAAAAGTTAGTAACATTTCACGATAACGAACACCACTCACGGTTAACTGCATTTTCAAAGAAAAATGGTCCGATGATGCCTCCAGTCCACAATGCACACCAAAGAGTGGCTGTTTTTGGATGCATCTGTTTCTAAACGATCACTCGTAGATTTTCGGAACCCCAAATGCGACAATTTTGTCGATTAACGAAGCCATCAAGATGAAATTGGGCCTCGTCACTAAAGATGATTTTCGTTGAAAAATCACAGTCCAATTGTCGTTGTTCCAAAATCCAATCAACAAAGGCTCTTCGTTGCCCATGGTCTTCCGGCTTTAGCTCTTGAGCCAATTCAACTTTGTACGCATGAAGCTTCAAGTCTTTTGTTAAAATTCGATGCATAGTGGTTGTGGAAACAACAATTTCCTGAGCTCTATGCCGAATTTATGTGGATGGGATTTCCTCAACATTTGCACGTACTGCTGCGATATTTTCAGTCTTTCGGATTTCACTTCATTAACAGACCCAATTTGCTAAAATTTCTTCATTCATTTTCTCACAGTGGCTTCAGTTGGAGAATTCCGATGGCCCACAATTGTACACACTTTGATAATAATTTTTCACAATGAGAATTCGTTGTTGTGTATTGAACCGTCGTTCTTGTATTTTAATTCAAATTCGTATGGAAAAGTTCAAAAAGTTAAAGGTTCTAAAAGCAGAATTGCTAAACCTGCTCATTGTTTATAAACTTTGGGTAATTTCTTCGTTACATTTGCTTGTGTTCCAAACACAATAACTTTTTCCACTTTACATGGTGTTTTAGAACGGGAGGTAATTTTTGTTAAGCAATAATTGGTTTCAAGAGAAGCTAGTTGCAACAACAGGTGAACCCGATTTACTATGAGTAGTTAAGTCCAAATAAAAAATTTCCTATCCCAAAAACCCAAACAGATGGGGATTTATGAATGACTAGCTTCGTTTATCTATCAACGTATTTGTTTCTCAATGCAGGCCCAATCGGATGCACAGTCGACTTCCTCAAAGTCCTACACTCCATTGGACGCTCTCTCCAACATGCAGCCGCCACCCGGACCCGGCATCCACAACCCTTTGGGTGGCCATCCAGGAATGCCATGTCAAGTGTGTAAAAATACCATTAATTTCCTCAAAAAAGTCTTCAATCATTTTCTTTCTTTAGCCGATCGCACAAATGGGATCCTCTCCCCGACTTCAGCATCCGTCTGGAAGTGCTTTCACTTCACCACATCACCCTCCTCCAGGCTACCCTCCAGGGGCTCCGCCATCGGGAGAGTCGCCCGCTGGATACGTTCATGGTGAGTGTTTTTAACTGTTTTTTTGCGCGAAAAATCGGGCGAATAAGTTGCATGAGTCAGACAGAGCATTAGATGGAAATCCGTCGTGTCCTTATGAATCATAAACCGCGACATCATGCGCAACCGAAAGAGAGCCGATCCGTGTTAGGGAGCAAGAGAGACTTCCCGGTTGCGTCCGTCTGGAACGTGGCGTTCCGGTCTTTCCAGAGAAATCCATGTGGATATCGGCACCTTGCTGTTCCCGCTCCTGCGTCAGTTGTTTACCGATTCAAGTTAGGTTGTCGCGGCGGATTTACCACGTGTCTGTTCTAGTTTAAATAAATTCCTTCAGTTTAAAGTCGAGGCCTAATTTATTCGGGTGACAATCCGATCCAGGAACACTTCTTACTGCTGCCATCATCTATCTAGTCAGGATGACGTATTTTTATTGTTCGCCGACCCCACAACGACGTAGTTTCGAATGGCCGGCGCGTTATAGCAGGATTTTCATATAGGAGTGCAGTGTTTTACCTTCGGTGACCTTAATAAGCTAATCCTTCGAGAACTAAACTAAACATGTGTTTCCTAGTGAAAGTGGAGTTTTTCCCAGTTTCTAAAGCAACCTGCTCGGAATGATCTGTAAGGGCACAGCTCAAGCGATCAAAGGCAAGCCATATAAATATTAAGTTCTTTCCAAAGCCAAAGGCATAAAGAAAAACATATCAACATTTTTCGCAAACGCGCTTGATGCTTAATTTATTGCGATGGCTAGTTGAATTTCGTCGAAACGATAAAAAAATTAAATGCGTTCCAATGTCGTTCGCGCAAATAATGACAACGCGATTTTTTCATGTTTTTAAACCGTTGCGTCCTGTTGACAATGTTGGCGGCATTTTTGGTATGAAGGTTGGAGCGGCTCAATTGAAGAGAACGGCGAAAATTTTGCAAATTAGGGCTCAATTGACAAACAATTTTCAATCCAAAAATTGGCCTCTAAGGGCCTTCTAAGTTGAACCATTAGTCAACAGACAATCTAAGATTAGAGAAAATTAAACGACTCACGCGAGAACATGGAAACAAAAGCAAAAGAAAGAAAGAAAAGCCTTAAAGAGTTTACCTATAACTGTTATTGCTCAATCTGGCACAAATATAAAGCAGAATACTTTAAAGATGAGGTATGAAGATGAATTCAACACTTTATTTACTTAGGGAAAACCGTCACTTAAATTCTCTGTCGTGTTTTAGTTTTTTTTTGTCCCAGTTCTTGTACTATAGCTTTCGATTGGTTCCATACCAATAAACCAGATATCAGGCCTATCTACTAGAAGATATTTTTTTCTATCAGATTAGCGGTAGATAAGCCGGTTTTATTTGGCCGCTGGTGAATGTTCGCTTTTCCTTATTATTGTCTTGTTATCCGTCAGATTTCATTACCAGCAGGTTTATCTGAAAATGACCAAACCGACCTTAAATAGGCCAAATTGCCTACAAGAATCAGCAATAAATTCGATTGCCGTTAGCGTAACTGAGACTTAGGGTCGATTCATTCACTTGCTGATAAATTCGCTGGTAAATGCCAATCGAATTAATGTATTAATTATGCTGTTTGATCCTAATTTACGTGGGAAATAACGATAGATACAGGGTGTCCCGTAAGCACATGATCAAACCACTGCGATATTCTTTGCATCAAAAGACGATCTGACCTAATTTTTATTAACGATAAATTAATTAATTATTAATTATTAATTTTTAAACAACCATTTAAATTAACAAGAAATGTGGGCTCCTCTGCTATTGATGGTGAAAGTTCTCCAAAAATTTTTATTTTTTGAAATATCGGGAGAATGGTACGATGTATTTTAGTGAAACTAGCTGTGAATTTGTTCGTATATAAGACTCATATTTTGATGAAACAATCGAGTTTATCCGTTTCAGACAAGTGGTGAATTCTTGAGTGTCGTGGTACAAAAACTACCAGAACGTTTTATTTGGTGGATGAAATCAACTCATTTTTTTCGGTTGATGCACTAATCATTTATTCCCAATTTTGTGCTCTTTGTAAAATCTTGTAGCATTAACAGTTTTTGCGCAAAAAAATATGTCTGTTTTCTGCCACTTAACAATGTTGGACATTAACTGCAAATATGCTCCGCGGAAACGCGTACGCTTTCACGCAAGTTGTCTTCGCAAAACCCTAATACTTTGACCATGTCGGTCACTTCTTCATTAGAAAAGGTCATTCGAAACGAAGAAAAAGAGCACAAAATTGTGAATAAATGATTAGTGCATCAACCGAAAAAAAATGAGTTGATTTCATTTTGTGCTCTTTTTCTTCGTTTCGAATGACCTTTTCTAATGAAGAAGTGACCGACATGGTCAAAATATTAGGGTTTTGCGAAGACAACTTGCGTGAAAGCTTACGCGTTTCCGCGGCGCCTATTGCAGTTAATGTCTTAAGCCATTGTTAAGTGACAAGAAAACAGACATATTTTTAACGCAACAAGATTTTACAAAGAGCACAAAATTGTGAATAAATCATTAGTGCATCATCCAAAGAAAATTAGTTGATTCCATAAACCAAATAAAAAGTTCTGGTAGTTTTTGTACCACGACACTCAAGAATTCATCACTTGTCCAAAACGGCTGAACTCGATTGTTTTATCAAAATATGAGTCTTACATACGAACAAATTCACTGCGAGTTTCACCAAAAATTTCGGACCATTCTCTCGATATTTCAAAAAAGATATTTTTTTTGAAGAACTTTGACCATCAATAGCAGAGTTGCCAGACATTTTTTCTTAATAAAAATTAGGTCAGATCGTCTTCTTTGGCTTCAAATAATATCACAGTGCCCTTTTGATCATGTGCTTACGGGACACCCTGTATATATGAATTAGACAAAGATAGAAAAAACGATCCACAAACTTTGGATTAGTAGTTTATTTATGAATCAGAAAATACTCTAAAGCTATTGAAATGAAAATAAAAATTATTAAAAATGTCAGAACAAATAAACAGAAAAGAATGCAGACAGCTAAATGAATCTCGAAACATATAAGATCACCCATACAGAAAAAATAGATCAAAAACGCAAGAAACATATTAAAAAGTTTTCTATGCGAGCAGATGGACTAGCAGAAATACAAGATTTTCAAATTAAAATTAACCAACGCGAATTTGAATAAAATAACAAAAAAGCTAGTAAAACAATTCAGTAATGTATAAATATTATGATTAACAACAAAAATGTTGTTATATTTCAACAGCTTTGGTGCTTTTATTAAAATGCAAGACAAAACTATAATAATTGTTTGCCTTTAATATGTTTATTATAAAAGATTATTCACAATTTACTAAAATTTTTGTAACTAATAATTTCAACAAGGCTACACCCTACTGTCCTAACAAGTTTACTCATTTTTAACATACTTAAACCTTTATAATATCAACCGACCTGAAGTCAAACCAATTTGTACTTCAATGTATCAATGAATTTTTATGATGATTATTGATTTATTATGATTTTGTTATAGTGCAACCAGGTTTTTATGACTTTATGACTATTCTTAACTTTCAATAGTTAACGGTTACACATACGGTTAAATGAAGTTTGTCCAATTCAGATGTTGCCTGGTAAACAATATTAGATGAGGTTTAATATTGTTTATATTTTTTGTGTCGTGTCTTCAGATAAGCAAGCTTACTTTTAATGGATTTTAAAGCTTGAGACCCTGAAATATTCAAAACGATGCTCTCAATCCAAGTTCAAATATTTTATTTAATATTTTCATTTTATGTGCGTCTAAAGTTTTATTTTGCGATCATTTTTCACTCGTTTCTCGACACTAACCAAGATTGCACGATGTCGGGCTTTTAATTATTTCTTCATTTCAAATAATAATCGCAATTTTTGCAAATTCTAGCAGGTTTAGCTCCATTATTAGAAGCCTTACATTTTAAATATGCTTCGATTTATCCAGGATCCTTCCTTATATGGAAACCAAACCAAAATGTGTGTGTTTCTTTTGGAAGAAGAGTTATTTACTTTTTCGCTGGTTTTTAGTAAATATTAATTAACATTTGAATATAAAAACTGTGTGGAGTCAAAGTGTAGGTTTGTCGATAAACTACTTATTTGTACATTTTAAGAGATAAACTTCAGGACTATTGCTTGCAATTTGTGGTTTTTTAAGTGATTTTACATTTTTATGTACTTATATAGGTCCAGAAAACTTGATTTCATGCCGCCCAGCCAACGTAGAACAGCAAGTTTGTTTCGATTATTTGCCTATCAAAAAATTATAATAAGTACCTACTTATTTGCATATTGTCAATTTCGGGTTTTCCATTCGCAAGCACAAAAGTAAAACTGTGGCGCCAATCTTGGTGTTTCGGATAATTTTTACTTTACTTTTTCTGTACTGTCGATCATTCAGTAAATTTGCGTTTCAGTAAAAGATCTCCTTTTTCAACTAAAGGTAAGATTTTCAAATAATTTCTTCAACATAAATCAAAACCGTTGGCTTTTTTAGACCAACAGTTTTCATGCAACATTGGAGGCCGGTTTTATGTCCAAAAGAAACGAGTTATTATGAGCAAGAATAAATTCTCACACAAGCAAGTATGGAAGCAATTATTAGTAATTAATGTTTTCTTCTTTGATCACCAAAAAACACTGATTGCTGAAAACAATTATTTCTCTAGTGCTATCATAAGTAGCGGCAGAAGTGTTATTAGCTATTTATCTCTCAGATATGGCTACATAAATAAAGTCTGAAGTTGTTAGATCGGGTGATCGAGCCGGCTAATTTGACCTAATACACCTATTTAGTAATGGCAAGTAAAATAATTGAAATTCGCGATACAAGAACCATCTGGTGCATCCTCTTTTGATATTGAACCGATTTGGTTTGGTTTTTTGAGAAATTTGAACGCTGAAAGTCAAGCAAAACACTTAGAAAAATAGGCAAGGACCGGTAGAATGAACCTTCTTATATCTTATAAGTAGTCTGCAAA